GCAGGTTAATGAGTTCAACCAGCACACAAAGCCAGGAACACAACTTCAAACCACAGTCAGTTTGGATGAGACTGACAGAATGAGCAGAAGTGTCGCGGCTTCTACATGAAAACGATGAAAATGACCCGTGCTGCAGGAATGATGTCAGCGTGTCATTACTACAATGCAACAGTCGCATCTGTGTGCGACGGCTTCACCAAAACAACAGCCCACGAAGTGATGCAGCTTGGGTTGCATCACAGCAGCATATCAAAGCTTTTGCATCTCCCAGAATAAAAAAATTCATTTCTGCTTCATCTAAGTGACTCACTTCTCTGAAGTCGACCGAGTTCAGTTTAGCTTCATGTTTGGCCCTATCTGCCGACTCGTTTCAGAGGAAAATCCAATTTTTCTAATGAAGTGTCCGTCATCTATAGGTGTGAGTCCTCTCCCACCCCGCCCACTCAGTGTGTGGTCACAGAGGTCGCACAAAGACTGAAGACTCCCACGATGACATAAATACACGAACACATTCTCAGTCAACAAACTATATATAATTCAGATCGGAGCAAGAGTATGAAGTGCAGACACAGGAGAGCAACTCTCCTACATCATGTAAAAATAGGAGCTTACATATGTGACGAGAACATGTTTGTAAAGACTCTTTATTTTAAATGGTTAAAAAATGTAAACACTAACTCCCGGCTACACGAGTCAGTCATCAGTGATCAATCACAGCTGTGTTTTAAAGGATTCGTCATTCGCCTTTCAGTTCTCATGTCTAATGTCTGGATCACATGCAGAGACGATAAGAGTCGATCACTGAATACAATAAAGAAAAAAGGACATATTATAGAACTCAGCTGGCTTTAATAATATCTCTTCCTTAAGTGCAATAATATTATCAACTTAAATGTCAAATTCAAGATTATATCCCAGAAAAGAGCAACCATAAAACCAACACTAATCACAGAGAAAATATATCATCCATCTCAGGTCAGCGAGTGCTGCACTGAATACTGGAGGTGTAAAATGGCTGGTATGGCCATGCATCTGTCCCTGGGCTTCAGTGTGCTTCAGTCTGTACATACAAAGACAACATACTGCACTCGCATGCATGTTAATCACCATTTTTTAATTTTTAATTGATTTTCCCAGGTTTCCCAGCTATGCCTATTCATTTTTTCTTTCCTTTTAATTATAGTGTCCAAAGATGTTTTCATTGCACAACAATGACAGCATATCATGTGTGTCAAGAGCAAAAGATCCAAATGTCTGCTGTACCAACAGACCAGCTTAACATCATCATTCAGGGCAGGATACCAAAATGAAACCGGCGCACTGAGCTTCTGTTGAGTCTGGGCTGCTGAGGGTGAAGAGAACGGGGTCTTTGTCTATAATTCATAGAGTCAAATGGAAGTGAGCAGTCTGTCCTGTCAATGCATGTCTGCACTAAAGCTCTCACTGTAGAGCCAGCAAGAAGTGGGGTGTGAAATTAAAATACTCTTCAAGTAGTGTACAACACTCAACAACAAAAAAGCATGTGTGCACACAAAGATGTTGCTCTAAATCAACAGATATCAAAACCAGACAGGTTAGACGAAGCCCTGCAGGCTGATTCACAGACAGCTATTCCTGGTTGACTGAGAAAAATGATAATAAACATCATTTTAGTCTCAAAGTCTTGCAAAAAAATATGCTTTTTTATATTTTTGATGCTAGCAAAAATAAAGACTTGTTAGAAATGTGAAATTTTTGGAACACATTGCACTCAATTGGTGGAAGAGATATAACCTTTGTCTTTAGTTAGAGTGATGAAAATAAATGTTAATAATTTAAGGAGGTGATTTTTTTTTTTTTTTTTTTTGGGGGGGGGGTGTCTTTGGACAAAGAGCGTCTTTTATTATTATTTTTTAACAATGCACCATCAGTTAACATGATGATAAAAAATGATGTGACCGAACAAAAAGAAATGTTGAAAATTGGGTTGTTTTGCAAAGAAATGTGAAAAATAAACACAAAGACAATCTTCAGTTTTTTGTTTTGTGTGAAGCTCTCCATAAATGTTCAAATAAAGAAAATAATAATAACTTTAATTTTTTCCACAGTATGAAAAAAATGTTTGTTTGTTTTTTAATCAAACAAAGTTTTTATGTTTATTTTCATATGTGTTAAAATCAACAAACAGCAATAACAAACGCTGAATGCTCCCCATGGCTCTTAACAACCGCAGTCAATTTCCCCTCCATAAACAATAGGCATCCCTTATCTTTCCCGTCGTTTATTGCCCTCAGGAGCAGGCTTTACTGAAACTGGAAAAAATAAATCAAACTTAAAACACTTTACATCTTCTCTTAGTTAATCGCGACTCTTTTCTTCCAGTTTCCTGAAGCTCTATGAAAGCAGGTTCGTTTTGGTCAGCGTCCGTTCCCACCTTAAATTCATTTTTAAAAAACATAAATTCTGCTTTACCTCATACTGAAGATACTGTTTCCTCCACTCTGGAGTGATATGGGACGAAAGATGCTCCGCGAATTTCATTTTGCCGGAACAAGTGTCCCCCTCAAAGCGCTGTTAAATCCGAGCGCGGCTGTCCCCTTCCCCGTCGACGCGACTTTTATTTTATCAGTCAACTTGCTGGCTCAACATGCGGCGCGTCAGCGCGGCACACTGCGCTCCTGCTCACTCCACTTCTGGCTCGTCCCGGTCTGCGCACTCCCTGCAGATCCCGTCCCACATACTATTTCATGGGAGGGACAACGAGAACAACAACAGTGGCCTCCCTTTAACAGGTGGTCGGGCGACAGGTTACTGGAGCCGGTGAAAGTGGCTCAGTGACTTTGCTCGGTCCCTCCCTGGGCAAGTCTGGGGACACTGCGGTCCGCCATCGCTATGAACCACTGTGACGTGGTTGCGTCAGCAGAGCGCGCAGTGTAACTCGGACACTGTTGGGACCTCGTGAAAACTGTTAGTGGTGCACCCCGGGACCCCTCACAGTCTTCGCTTCACTTTATTTCCTTTGGGGTTTTGTACAGTAGTTAGAGAGGCAACTGTCTGCTGCGTGTTTCTACAAAAAGAAGAAGGAATAAAGTTACACTCCTGGAAGTCAATGTGATACTTTTTTAAAGATATATAAATATATATTTAAACTGACCAACCAACAGTAATAACTCATTTAAAACGTATACAGTTTTTCTTTAACTAAAACGTGTCTGTGACGTTTATCTCTCTGCAGATAATATGGCAGAAAGTCACGTAGACAACAAATTATACGCACTTTGATGCTTAATGTAAGCTGCTTGTAGCTTTCGGTCTAAAAACAGGTTCACAAGAACACGATAACAGGCTACCACTAGCTCTGTAAAAATATACTCATTAATACTGTTAATATACTGGGAAGTTCCCCGTGTTTACCGCATATGAAGTAGAACAGAAACAGAAAGATACGAACCAGAAATAATTCGGAAGTTGAGCTTTTTCTCAAAGAGGAAAAAAACGTTTAATTTAATAGAAACGTTATTGACTTAAGCTTAGGCTACTCGATTATTGAATCCATTTTCGTCCTGGTGAATGTGATGAGCGACATCATGTACTTGGGATAAAAAGTGCCAAACGCCAAAATAAAACATCTTTGTGTTAATAGCACCATCTGCTGGACACGATATGTTAATACATTGTTTTCACAAAGCTGAGTGTTGTGGCAGCTGTCGCAAACATTCAGGTTGATTAATATGTGCTGCAGTAGAGTCCAAGTAGAATTTAAACATTTATAAAAAATGTGGTGGACAGAAAAACGTCGTTAAAAAGTTTTAAATTGAGGCCCTTTAAGGGTTTTTCTGCCCGAACGAATATGAATGGAGTTTGTTTTAGAACTTAGATTTGATGCTATTTATTTATCCATAACTATTGTTGCAATTCATTACTGCTCTTTTTTAAACTAGGTCTTTTAAAACTGTATTGCTTATTGCACTGTAGAGGCTGGTGAGAAACCGTATTTCGTTTCAGGCTGAGTAACACCAGAGCAAATGTCAATAAACTTCTTGAGTCTTAAAATTAAGCTATTACCTTCTTGTCTGTAGTTATCCTCATTTTAGGATAATGAGAGTCCCTTATAGAACAGAACCCATCGCATGCACACATCACACACTAAAATGTTCTAGAAATGTCTGTGATGGAGTATACAGTGAATGGACGGGCTGTCCAACCCTTGTATTTTTCTTCCAAGTTTCCAGACCCTCATTTTTAGCCACTTTGTTACTAACAGTCTGCCACAAAACACATTTTGTTCTATTTGTTTTTTTAGGGGAACTTGTGAAAAATGTCTAAGCTCACACAGTTTGACGGATATCTGGACTCAGACTGGACTAGGTACCAACAAGGTGATTCCTAAAAACGTTGCATATCTCAGCATGGTGAGCAGCATGCTTTTTGTTTTGTTTTGTTTTTTAAGGAGGAAGAAAAAACGGAGGAAACTGGACAAATATAGGACAATAAGTGGCAAGAAGGGGAAAAAGTCCAGGAAAGACCTGACACGGTACCTGATAGAAACATTTGGCCCTGCAGCTGAAGGACCATTGGAAATGATCTCTGTGTAATAGCGGCTGCCAAAAAGACAACGAGGAAAGGCTGAGGTGTGTCTTATTATTACTTAAGAACTAGGAAATAAACTCGACTAGACATCTTGTCAAATGAAACGGCGAAAACAAAAAGTACCATCCCATTTTGATCCACCTTGAGGAGATTTCAAGAAACATTTTTCCACCCAAAGTATCAACAAACCCACTGCAAGCTACTTTAGCGCTTAAGTTAGCCAGCTAATATATATTATTCGGTGTCAGCTGACCTACGATAACGTGACATGTACACAGCAACCAGAAAAAACTCAAACATTTTATTTTCATTTAGACAATATTTAGTGTTTGTTTAATCATTCATAACAAATATACAGAAAAGCGCGTGTTCGCGTGTTTACTCGCACCAGAGTCGGAACCTTTCTTACTAACAGCGATTTTTTACCGGCGCTTTTAAATTGACAGTACCAGCCACGGACCAACGGCAGAAATAGATCCGACTGTCGCGGATTTGCTACGATAACGGATTAAAATCCAAGTCTTTGCTGAAACACTTTGCAGACATAATATAAATAACAGGCAGCTGCTCTCCGTACGCTTCTCCGCGTTTCTCACGGAGATCCGCGGCTCCCGTCGTTTGAGACGCTATAAACAATAATAACAATGGCTTCTGGTTCGCCGTCGTCCTCTCCGGACACCGCGACGGGCTCAGGTACGGATCCAGCCCGGCCCGACACAGGAGAGCCCCTCGGTGGAGCAGGCTCGGACTCGGATTCGGACTTGGGTTTGAGTAAATTTGACTGCAGCGCCATGGAGGTGGGGGACCGGCTGGAGGGAGAAGAGCTGGAGCGCGAGTTCGAGTCTGCCGCCGACCGCGTAAAAGACTTGATACAGACGGCCAGCAGGGACCAGCTGCTGTACCTGTACGCTCGCTACAAACAGGTGATTGTACGATTAATGTCACTGCGTGTGTCGGCCACACTCGAGCCTTCAAGTAGTTGCACCACGCTGCTTTAGACGGGACACCCCCCACACGCCATGAATCTCAGCATTTACGTGACTCCTCTGGTATTTAATCGAGTCAGGCTCACAGCTGCAGGCGACATTAAATCAGATATGTAATGTGATTTTGTATCTATAGGTCAAAGTGGGGAAGTGCAATACACCAAAACCTGGTTTCTTTGACTTTGAAGGACAAAGAAAATGGTAAGTAGCCCAGATTTCACTTTGCACATATTTTAAAGCCTTATAGGTCAAGTAAGTCAATTCAATTCACTTTTACTTAAATGGCACCAGTCGCCTCATTGTAAGGCAAAGAACCTTCAATAATAAAAAGAAAAGTCCAACAATCAGACGACCCCCTACGAACGAGCACTTGGCAACACTGGAAAGGAAAAAGTCCCTTTTAAACAGGAACCTCTGGCAGAACCAGGCTCAGGGATCCACGTTCAGATGCTTGATGAAGAAAAATGTTTCTGCTACTTAAAACAAACCACTGTTCACAAACAGCCCATCCTCTTGCAAAGTATTAAAATGATTCCCCCAAAGTCAGTGAATCTAATATTTCTATTTTCATGTTTTAGTTCACGGCGTGTGAAAAGCTTTAACAGTGATTACTTTGGTAATTGTGATATCATAACAGGCAAGCCTGGAAGCAGCTTGGAGACATGGATCAGGAACAAGCAATGCAAGAGTATATTTCCTGTGTCAACATCTTAGACCCTGAAGGCAGCACGAAGGTAATTCCTGAGAATTTATTTTTAATCCACATTTTGCTTCTAAACCGATGCAGAGGTGGGTTAATGTTGTGACTGTTGTGGAGGGTCACACCAGTAAGTTTATAAAGAGATCAAATTAACACTTTTATTACAATGGATCTTATGATAACAGATTATAAAACATTAATTATACATTTATAACACTTCGTTTGCTTTCAGCTCAGCCTTTACTGCAACAGTTTTCTTCGTAGTAATAATTTGATTTTATGGAAGATGGTCCTTTAGTAGAGAATGTTGAATGTCAGTGTTAGTGTTGCCATTCATCATGCTCCTTATGACTTTATGGTCTTGTTTTTGATTATATGTAGAAAGAGTTTCTGGTTCTCGTCACTTTACAGACATTAGTCTATAACCAGAAAATGTGTAATTTCTCAGTCATCCAGGTCACGGTAGTCTGAAGTGTTTGAAAAGAAGGCAACTGAACTCTTTGCTTCTTGAAGATGTTTCTCCTCCCATCCAAGAGGCTTCTTCTGTTCTAAAACAAGAGATTTGAGAGTTTCAGGTGTCTGACCTCTAGAAGAGGCTGCCCTCTTGGAGGTGGTAGTGATCCCGTGAGCCCAGGTGTGGAAAAAAAAGGCGTGGGTCATTGTCACCAGGGGTCAGTCACAGTGGACATAGATGGGCTCCTTTCTCAAATAATCTGTGAAAAATCTGAACATTGGCATCATTGAAGAGCATCCTTTCCCCTTCAAGAGAAGGTGGACAGCTGCGTCTTGTCCTTATGAGGCGGCTTTCTTGTTGTGCCATGCGTCTGTGGGGTGTTGTTTCTCTTATGGTCCGAGCACTCCTCACATGGTACACTACGCTGTTTAGCTTGTGTTCGGGGGTGAACCAGGTTTGTCTGAGGGTGTTGCTGGATCAGAAGTGCACTGTGATGTTTATGCATAGAGAAAATTCAGAGTTACCACATAAGGAACGACAGTGTCATTCTGTTTCTTCCTGGTTCTTGTCAATTTCTGACCTTATACACCTGATAACAAATTCTGGAAATGTACATGAACTAAAACAGAGCTTTAAAGGTAAGATGTCTGAAATTAGGACAAAAAGCATGACAGATATAGAACAGAACCATCCGTGAAGTACCCGGTGTTCACCAGGAGGTGTCACTGTCACACTGTCATTTTGTTGAAACCGTGTTGCTGCTCATTTTCTGCACATTTAGAAAGAAAAATGAAAATTTTGCGCAGGTTTCCTCAGTGGCTGATATTTTGGAATAGTAATTATTTAAATGTTCATATTAAGGCTGTTGGGATGTGCTAATTTGTATAGTGACTGTTTACATCTCTACACACTCTTTTCTTAGCTGTGCCATAAACGGGTTGCTCTTTGGGACAACATTAGGTTTCAACACCAACCTTGGATGGTTTGCAGTAATGGAGTATAATCGTCATACTGATAAAACACTTATTTTTATACTTTGTTTTATAGATCATCTAAAAGTTGGAATGATAAAGTTTGTAGCAGCAGTGAGTGAGCTCCAGTGTCACAGTTTAGTCACAAAGGGAAGTGTTTACACTCTCTGATAATCTATTAAAGTCACTGTTAGATATTGATATCTACAGATATATTACATATCCTCTTTTAACAACAGTGTGTAAACATCTGCAAACTGAGGAGACCGGCTGCTGGACTTTAGGGAGAGGACGTTGTCCCATTCTTTCGTTCTGTTTGTTTGTTCGTTTGTTTTTTGGCTTCTTTTTTTAAACAGTTCAGCAGTGAAGAGTAGACTAGAAAAAGGGGGAGAGCGAGCAGGGGAAGACTCTCAGCAAAGGGTCCCAGGTTGTGGTTGAAAGGCGTCTGCTCAGCTGGTGCGCTTTGTCTCACTCGTGTCTGATATAAGATTCTAGCTGCTCAGCGGTCCTGGGTCTTTGTCATATTCTTCATCTCATGAAGCTCCAAATGTTTTCAGTTTGGGAAACATCTTGACTATAGGCAGACCTCTTCAGCACCTGGACTCTTCTTAGATCAGCATCATCTTCCAGAAATATGCACGGCCGTCCCTGAAAGAAGCTCATCTGGATGGGAGCTTCTAGATGAGCTTCTTTCAGCCTTTCCAGATGTTCAAAGCACTCATCAGTACTGAAATCCTGAAACGATCATGTTCCAGAGGCACAAAGGCACCCGTTACAATCACAGATGCAGGATTTTGGTCCTGCTCCTCTTTAGTCCAGAGGACAGCGTGTTCATGTTTTCCATAAAGTTTTGATCAATCTCACCACAAAACAGTTTTACACTTTGTTTCAGACAATTTTAAATGACCTTTGGCCCGGAGAAGACGGCTGGATCATGTTCACATGTTCTTCGTATGATAGAGCTCTGACCTGCGTTTGTGGATGACATGGTGAACATTTTATTTCTGTAACTGTTCCTGAGCCCATGCAGTGACTTTAATGACAGACTCGTGCACCTGAAGGTCACAGGCATGCAATAAAATGTTCCTCCAGCTGTTTCTTTTAAATACTGCTCACTTTTCCAGTCTTATGTTGCACTCCTCAAACTCTGAGACATGTTACTGCCATCTGATTCAAAATGAGCTCTTATTTTACACAAAATAGAAGAATGTCTCAGTTTAAAAATGTCAATGTTTTCTATATTGGATTGTGACTAAAATATATGTTTGAGACATGCAGATCGTTGATTCTGTTCTCATTTACACCGCATCATGACTCTGGTTTGCCGTGTTCGTGATACACAGAGCACATGTGAACATGAGAGCGTGCACTCTTTACTCAGAGGGATGGGCACACAGTCACATTTGCACAGCTACAACTTGGCTGCAAAGCAAAGGAACACTGAAACATTCATTTTTAAAGGCAGTCTGTGCTTCTTGCTCTTTTTCCCCATTTCCCCTCCCAGTCTTCCATTCACTTTGCTGCTCCCCCCCCCCATCCATTCATTTGTGTCTCCCAAATAGCATCACTGTCAACCACGTCTCCCATCCTGACACGTTTCTCTTCCACCAAGCTGTGGGGCAATACTCGCTGACTCTGCCCTAAGCCACACAATACCAGGGGTGGGCCCAGCAAAAGCACCGCTACCCTGCCTGTAAAGAACCTGATTCTATTAGTGTTAACAAAGCGCCATAGCATGGCAGCAGCTATTCTTTTGGAAGCACAGTTAAATGGTGTAAGTAGAAGTGCATAGACAGAGAAGCAGGGGAGAGAATAATAGCCACAGTTTGACCTCTGTTCCTGTCTCAATTGTTGAGCAGACACTGCCTTTATATTGCATTATACTGCAGAGGAGCAGGGCCAGTGCATCAGCGAATATTCCGAGTTTCTGAAGTGAATTAGGTTGTCCCAAAAGTGCACGCACGGTTTTGCTTCGCTTGTCATGTTCTCCCCACTCTGCCTATTTTCTGAAATCAGATTTGTGTGGGCTCTTTTGTGAGTCAAGGTTGGCCCACAAAGAATAGTCTGGGTAATAAAGTCTTGGCTGAGCTGAATGTAATGTGGGATCACATGAAAACAGAAGATTAACAATAGTCACAAAATTAAGACATGATGCATTTAAAACTGTTGCACATTTTGTTGGCCATTTATTAGCAGTGAGGTCATGTCTGAAGCCCCCAAAGAGTCGTTTCAGATTTACACCATCTGAACTGTTTGCCAGCTTTAGATTCTCAAAGATTAGAGGTAGGAGCCTGCTTTATAGAGAATCGATGGGCCCAAAACGTTTGTATTGGGCCCATCCCGCTGTCACTGGAGAAGAAACCCAAGGCTGGTAAACTAAGCTAGAGAAGGCTGGGTGCTTGGCAAAAGCTCTGACTGCACAACAGGTTTTTTTTGGAGGTTTATTGCCCCCCAAACAACATTTCTGTTTTAAAAACACATTTGGGTCAGTTTTGTTGGACTTAGTGTGACCTTATGGCAACAATAGTAACTTATTGGTATTCCTATCAGGGTGTCTGTAGCTCAGGACGCAGAGGAGCTCATCTATCAATTGGAAGGTTGATGGTGAGATTCCTGGATGCTCCAGTGTGCATGCCAAAGTATCCTTGGGAAAGATACTGAACCCCAAGTCTCCGACGCATCCAATGCGATGGTGTGATGATACTGGCCTGCAGACATACTCATCAAAAGTCTTACTCAGTGGCTGTCCCTTCCTTTGGGTTTCCACAAAGACGTCAGCAAGCATGGCAGCTTCAGCGGCTGTTTTAGGATTAGAACATTCCTAACTATTGTTCCTTAATTACTTCACTGCACTCTTTCACTTTTAGGCTGAATCCATTTCCCCACACAACTCCTTTACCCTCCCAGAAAGCCCCCCGAGGTTCTAATCAGGATAAATATGAAGGAAACTGAAAATGAAAGTTGATAAACATTCATATAAACTGAGGCACATTGGGGCCTTAACATTATAGGTAGACGAATGAGGCAGAAGAACCAGTCTGAATGTGATCATGTCCAGGCAGCTGCAATTCTCCCAAAGGTAACAAGGAAATGCTCAATACCATCTTCAGTTTATGTTTGTAATATTGGCTCAGAAGAGTTACTGACCTGACTCTGAAGTTAACTTCTGGTGGGATGTAGCTGGACCTGTGACGGTGATCTCCGTCATCAGGAGCTTCCAGTGGGTCTGGGTCGGTCGACGTGCAAGTCTGCATTTCAGTGTTACTGCTACATGCTGTCCCATGAAGGTTTGCAAGCCTCCCAGCCAGTTCCTTCACTTTTATCTCTTTGATATCTTCTCCCTCATCATCAGCCATATTAGAAGCTCAGGTCTCCACATGCTTTTCACTAGCTGTGTGATCCTCACCTATTCTAGTCTCTTATCTCCACAGTGCAAGTCTCAGAAGAAGTACAGGAAGGGAGTCAAAGTTAGAAAGAAAAAACTGGTTTGTTGAAAAAGGCCTGTGTCCTGAGGTGACTGATCCCACCGCTGCTACCATACCTGAGGAACTGAGCTGGTTAAGCGTTGGGCTTTAATAATCACAAACAAACCAAACACTGAGCTGAGAGACAGCAGCTGGCTCATCAGCACAATTTAGACACGTGGGGAGAACAAACTCTGACACACTATCTAATATCAAAAAGCACAACAAAGAGTCAGTTTAATAGTTTAAATTAACAGAAACCACCCCCCCCCCCTTGATGTGGCAACACTTGGTATGTCCCAATCAACATGTTCCAAAACACCTGTATTTAATTGGCTACTTTTCACAGCAGCTGTTTGGTACCAGCAGATCTCTGCCGCTGAACAGACCACCATCACTGGTAAAACAAGCAAAAAAGAAGTCAATTAAGATTTGTTGTAAATATGTAAACACACCAATGATAACTTAATGTCCTTCAGCAATACCAAATAAATGAGTGTGATGTAGGTGGTTAAATATGTGTTTGTGTATGTGCACCAAATATGCATGCTCTGGGTTTACTGCATTTATTGTTGTGTGGCTTCAGCCACAGCCAGCACGTGTGGCCTTCACTGTTGATGTTGCATTTCTCACTGTTGTTACAGGAAAGACGAGGAGCGGAAAGGAGAACAGGCTTCGGAGCAGCAGTCAGTTCCCTATACCAAGAAGAGATGATCAGGTATCTGGATATCTCAGAAATGAAATCTACTGACATCTTAACACAAGCTTGAACAGACTCATCTTTTTCCTCCAATTGTGAATCGCCGCTTATTTAATGCTCAGGTCGGTCTAAGTCTGGCATTGTTGATGCAGTATTTGATTATATTCAACAGACCATAACTGCAGTTCAGGCCCAGAGACGTCATCCAGTTCTGATTTATGTTAATGAAACACATTCTCCATTTACTCTTGCCTGGCAGACCTGCTCAAGCTTAAAAAGCTCATCCTCATTTCAATGAAAAAGAGCTCTATTGGAGATGAAAATGAGATGTGTGATTCCTGCAGGTTTTCATCATAAATGGCTGCATGTGATTAGTATGCACGGTCTTGGGAAGAGGCGGGCTCCCCTTTTTAATTATGGATTTATTTTTTTCATTTTTTTGCGTCGGGGTGGGGGTGATGAAGACGACCTGGGTACAGCAGAGCGAGGAGGGTGAAGCAGGGTTCCCAGAACAGCGCTCCTCTTGGTGATATCCAATAGCAACGATGCCTCCCGTGGGAACCAGGAAGGCAAAAATCTGCACACTTGTGCACGCCTAAACATACAGTCTTCACTATACGTCGCTGCAGGTTTTCATCCAGGTCCTTGCACAACCTGCCAGAACTGTCACACTCACTGCTCTGCTGCATTTCAATTTCCTTGTGCTCACACAGAAACACGCGGATCCTCTCCATATTAAACAGCTAAGCACCTGTTAACCAGACAGTTAATTGCATTGCTCGCTGCTCATCTCGACTTCGGAGCGCGTGTGTGTTTGTAGACGTGTGTGAAGCGTGCATCGACAAAAGCAGGATTGATTAGCGATATCCCTGGACTACTGAGCTGATCACTGTGTGATTGAGGAGCCTTTGAATGCTACACTTGTAATTCTCTCCCCCACCCTGAAAAAGGATTGGGATAAACAATGGAGGCTTTGTTGTCCGAACGCTCTGCTGGAAGCCGAAGCTGAGTTATTCGAGTTTCTCATACTTCCGTGGAACTCGGCCTCGTCGAGGGGATCGACCAGGGCCCTGCAGGGAATGTGATGACAGATTGTGTAGGTGTATGTGTGTGTTTGTTTGATGAATGGTGTGGCCATGGTGTTGATCAGTGAAGCTCAGGCCAGGTAGATGAGTGTTCTCCACCACTGTGACCAGTTTAGCCTGATGGATGAAGGACATATCTGCCAGTACACCAGACTGGACACACACATGTGAGCACGTAACGCTCTTACACACAAACACAAAACCATTGGTACCCCAGTGATGACAGAGTAGCCTGTGACCTTCCCAGCATGCTTTGCGGCGCTGTTGATGTCATGTCGTTTATAGGACCCACATTAATCATTAGTTTGTTTATAGCCTGTGTGTGTGTGTGTGTGTGTTTTCAGTGTTAATGGAAAGGATCAAAACGAAAAATTGTGTGTTTTCCTTCCTTCGTGAGCTTTTTTATTTACGTTTTTAATAACCCCAATCTAACCCTTTAGCGATCTGCATGCGCACATGCAGGGGTCGCTTGTGCTTTATATATGTCAAGCAAGCCCCGTCGACCATCGACGAAAGACTGATGAGTCGCCCTATTGATTAGTTGCCGGGGGAGACGGATGGCGGCCACACATCAGGGACATTTGGGGTCAGCGTGGCCATCAGACAAGGAAGTAGGTGGAGCCCAGCTTGGTGTCTCATGAATAAACATAGCAGTGGTAATCAGGGCTATGCAAATGAATGTGCTCATACATAACCTGTCTGTGATAAAAGTGTAATGAGTTATTCATAATTCACCAAAGGCTGATGAGAAGAGGGAGGTGATGGGAGGCAAGGGCACGAGAAAGGGAGGAAGAAAAGGAAGTGCAGAGGAGCATTAAAGAGCAAACTGCAGATACAACTTCCTTTGTGTTTTGCTGTGTCGGAGTGGGAACGAACTCGAAGCGTAGATTGTGTTGATGGCAAGTGAGATTTATCTCCCTGATGTTTGCTGTGCAGGATCTTTAGTGTGCGCTGGATCTCTGGTATCAAGATTGTGATACTGTGGCTGTTTTCATACATTAACTGCAGCCTGGAATTTTAGGACGCCACAGAGGAGAGCACAAATGTCAGAATCAGTCTGATTGGATGCTAAACGGTCTTTAGCTGCCCGATTTCATGGTAAAACGTGCGAAACCTGTCCGATAGTGAGGATGCTCAAAGAGAGGAGCTTTGTTTGCTAGGGTTGTCCTGTTTCCTGTGTGGTCGGTCCAGGCAGCTGCCTCATTCTTTAAAACGCTGAGCTCGTCATCTCCTCTGTGCCAAATGTGACAACTTTGAACGTAAAAATTGTTTCTGACACTCAAGTTGCTTTTGTGCTTGAATTCAACCAAATCTGCTTCACATTTCTAACAGAAGACTGCTTTGGTTGTATAAGACGATACCTGACTGGGTCTAACTCGGAGGCAGCTGTTGCTCAGGAGGTACAGCAGGTGAAATGTCCCAAAATGGCGTGTGCGCGCTCGCGCTCTGGGACTTTTGAGGCCCAGTGCAGCAGAGCACGCTGGCGTCGGAAACAGGAAGTGGGGGATTTGCCTTGGGGATGACTGACTGTGTGGGAGCGGTAAAGCAGCAGGTTTGCAGGGTTTCCTGTCGAACAATAGAGCACTAAATTGAATTAATCTGAATGGCCGGCATGGGCAGAGGAAAGGGAAGGCGTAAAGCTCTAAATGAGATTTTGCCCCTTCTCTCCCCCTCACCCAACATCCCTCCTCCACCACTGCACCCTCTTCTCTCCCAGCATGCACTCCTGTCCCCAATGCCAAGAGGTGATTAGAGACACAGAGAGATAATTAGAGGTGGGATGGCTCTCTGTGTGCATGTGTCATACGCCGGTGCTCCCGAGGGATCTGGGACGCGTGGCTGCTGCTTTTCTATGAGAGATGTTATCTGTTACGTCTGTGGTTGCTTCACTATGCTAGCTGCTACCATTACCACTAATGTGACAACGTGTTGCTTGTGTGGTGTACCTGCACTTTCCATTTTGAAGGACCGCATGATGAGCTACACAATCTGCTAATGAAAAGCTTTTTGCCCATGGACATAGTTTCAGTTCAATCTTTCCAAAAAATGAATGGATTTTGGTTTGTGGTGCTAAAGGGCAACATTTGTTTCCAGAAACCTGCCGAAATCTCAGTTAAAGTAAAACCATTTTAATAATTATAAATATTATGGTAACTGATAGCTGTTCATTTCCCCCCCATGTTCTCAGGGAAGAGGATAAGAACATCTTTGACTACTGCAGAGACAATAACATCGAATACATCACCAACGCCATCACCTCCCAGAACGTGGACGTCAATATAAGGGATGAAGAGGTATCTGCAAAGCTCAGTCACACTCCACTGGTTGCATGATTGACTTGACAAAGTGTTACTTGACAGAACTGTAGTTTTCATACATAATGCAGGAGGACAGGCCTATAGTAGCAAATTAAAATCAGAGCCCAGAGTCAGGAAGAACTTCATTGTATGGCTGACGTGTCTGTTGAATCTGCAACAGCTGCATGGCTCTGACCCCTTGTGTGGGAGGGGAAGGTAAAAGCGATCAGACCCGTATCATGAAAAATACAGGTCACCGGGGGAACGGCTCATGCAGCTCACGCAGCCGTCGTTACATAATGGTTTCAGTGATCTGTGGCCACACGTGGGAATCGCTGCTCTGACTGAAATGCGTAAATTGTATGAGCGGCTATTAGCATCAGGAGGTGTTTTCTGGATTGACCCTGAACTCCATTCATCTGTCCTTGATTGGTTAGCATCCAGGCCAAATGGCTCACTCCCAGCCTCTTTCATCACAGCCGCTATGCAGATAAACAGGCAGTCGGCTGGTGAGTTCACAGTCAAAGGCCAGATGGCTGAAGGACCTCAGTGAGAATGCTTTGTGTCCCCAGCCATTGTTGGCCTCTTAGCTGTAATTCAGCTTGCTGGACAGGAGAGGGCAGTAGTGAAGTTTTCTATTGGCGAGCAGCGATCATTTGCATCTGTGGCTCAGAGACAGAAAGGCGGTCTTCCCAGCACTCACTGTTTGGGGCAGTGATCAAATACCCACCTGTGTTACACATTTCTAGTAGCAACCAACAAACAAAAGCTCTGCCTTAGAGCTCAGACTCTAAGGCAGAAATTAAAAAATGCATTAGAACGTGTGAGGCGAGCTCATCCTGTCAGAAGCTGTTGGGACATGAATGTTCTCCCTTTCTGATAAAATTCAGTGAAAATTTATTACTAGATAGAAAAATGCCCCCCTAGTTTTTATTTATGTAACACGTTCAGATCATAGTTGAACCAAACCAGCTGACAACTATTTACGGTTTGGATGAATAAATGACGATTACCCCAACAGATCACATGTGGTGTTTGTGCTTCAGTTCTGATCCAGAACATCTGTAGATGTAGAGCGGACTGCATTAAGAATGGCTTTGAATATAATAAAAAAGCTCCATATTTAAAAGCTGCATCTGTGAACGTATTATAGTCGTGTTTATATAAAATAGGAAGATTTTTTTTTTTTTCATCCAGCAGTATTTATCTAAATTACAGTTGAGTCTGAGTCAGCGTGTCGGGAATTGGAGAACTTTTTATGTGGCAACGGGGAGCTGAGAATGTAATTTATAGTTAGATTTTCACCACATTAAGAGGTAGTGTTACATTTGGAGATACTTGTAGTGTGAGCATGCTTCAGAGCATGTTTGAGTGGACAAAAGCTCTACTCTGCTCTCAACAAATAACCAGCGTACAGCATATTTGTCTTCTAGGAAACACTAAAGGCTCCTTCACAATCTCTGCAGCTGAATCTCAATATCTTGTGTAGCTCTGTGTTAGCTGCTGGGACGGTGGGGTAAATGTTTTGGATGCTGTGGTTTGTGTACTCAAATATGCAATAGGTGTTTATTGGGACTAAGTGTATAAAAGAGGATGAGATGGACGACTTAAGCAAATATATGCATTTTTTTTTTTTTTGTCTCTTCTTCCTTTGCTAATGTCTTTTTAATTTTTTGCAGAGGTGCACTTACAGTCTCCACACTGGTCAGGAATTTAACCCACTTTGACCTATCAGAGCAGAGCGCCAGCACAAATGCGGGTTACCTTCTTCAATAGTAATATATTAGCCATGATCAAAGGTATCGCTTTGAGGTTTCTGGGGAAAAATAATGAAATTTAAAATTTAATTGTTTTGTTTTTTGTTGATGGTAATTTTGACTTTTGGCCACAATTTAACAACAACAACAACAATCTTTATTTATAGAGCACATTTAAAAGCCTTGGGCATACCAAAGTGCTTTACATAAAACAATAAAAGGTTCAAACATTGATAACGGATAAATAAAAATAACAAGTTATGTTCATAGATAAAAGCTACCAATAAGAATGACTACAGCACATGGTAATAGCAAGATAAAAGCTGTACCACCATAAAAAAAGACAACCAATAGAAAGATAGGAGGGAATTAATACAAGAGGTCAATAGGTCACAGCAACCAAACAAACAAACCAGCAATTAAAAAGTGGAGAAGGCAAGTTTAAAAAGATATGTTTTAAGCTGTGATTTAAAAGAATGAATAGAATCAGATGCCCGGATGCCAATCGGGAGATTGTTCCACAGCACAGGTGCGACAAGAGCAAACAATCGATCACCTCTAGTCTTAAGTCGAGATCTGGGCTGAGCCAGCAGTAACTGTGACGATGACCTCTGCTCATTATTTAACTCAAATATTCATATTGTGTTTATGACAGAACTTAAATATCCATAAATATCCAGTGCTGCCACGATGATCTGCACAAATACTCCTATGGAGTTGCAGAGTTTGTAATGTCCCCCTGGAATCTGCACACTTTGGTCTTCAGTGAAAATGTGGGCAACAGTCAGCAGAAGCACACCTGAGAGCGGGAGAGAGAGGCCAACTTATTGGTATTCCAGCCCAGCTTACGAGTATCCATTTTAACATGCAGCCGTGGTGATCAATATAATTTAAGCAACAGAATTGGACTTGGAGAGTTAGCTTTACCTAATTGGCCTCACTGAAAAATGAGGTTGTGTGGTTTTATTAGAGCAGGATCTTGGACCTAAGGAGAGGATGGTGCATGAGTGTGAGAAAGGGAGGGAGAGAAGGGAGGCCACTCATGTTTTGTGCACAGCGTCGCATCAATCAACCTTTGCAGCATTCTGCAATTTGCCTTGAAGTCTTTGGACTTTGCTTCAACTGCGTACAAGTTTGGCCTCATACAAACACTTGTATGCACAGAGTCCACATGTCTCATCACTTTATACTCTGCTCATTATGGACCGGTCCAAAGGCTCTGATTTCTGATTGGGCATTCATAACCTGTTGTAAAGCTCGATTGGCTTATTTTTTTTTTTTTCTTTGAGGTAGAGAAGGAGGAGAGGTGACGAGGTGTCTTTGTATCAAGCCTGCTTGATTTGGTCTGACCAGACACGACACTGAGAGCATCACGCTAGTTTAAACACATCTTGCCTTTGGAAGTTTGGTCATCCCTGCATGTCTTTGATGTTATCTTATTTCTTATTTTTGCAGGGCCGGGCTCTCCTGCACTGGGCCTGTGACAGAGGCCACAAGGAGATGGTGTCTTTATTACTACAGCACAAAGCAGAAATCAACATTCAGGCGAGTAACACTTTTTCTTTAGAATATATAAAATAAGGAAGTGTCTTGATAGTAAAAATCTCCTTCAAAGTCAAATGCTGCCTAAACATCACCACAGTTACTATGTGATGTGAGAATTCTACTTCACGCTCAAGTTCTGAATCTTTGTGATCATTTAATATTAGACTAGTCTTCATGCCATCATCATCATCATCACAGGAGTTGTTTTAACATTAAAGAAATGAAACCTCTGAGTTATTGACAATAATAAAGCTTGGTTAGCAAACGCACTGCGGGAGGTTTATTAAACAGCTCTGCAGAAACTGCAGGATGACCTCAGATCTAATGCATTTCTATGTTGACTTGTACACAACATGTGGTCATAATGTAGAGAATTTGACATTATGTGGGATGAGGACATGGCTACTCGTTTGTACATGGACAAGTAAACTAAAAGAAAATGGTGACATCTCCTGCATCCCCACTCCCCTCTTTCTTTTTCTCTCAGTCCTTTTCAGAAGGTCACCTTTAATTCACTTTGTGCCACAGACAAATCCCTCAGGGTTTTAGCAGACTGAGTTAGCTGGTAGCTAGCCTAGTGTTTAGGCTCCCTGAGGTTTAGTAGCATCCAGGAGGCTTTAGCTTTGGTAAGCTGGCTCAGCTGCACATCGGAGAAATTACTCCTGTTCCCCTGCACGGCGGCATGACACAGTGCAGTGCAACAGCCCGCGCTGAGGTTTTAACTGTAAGGACGAATCAATTGGAAGTAATCAGGCAAATTGTTTTACGTTGCACAACCCACATAATCAGGACATTTCACAAATGACTTTCTCTTTTGTGGTCATGCGTGGCTCTTTTGTTTCGAATGCTCGCAGGGAGGTGGTAGATTTGTGTCAAATGGCTCATAAAAGACTTAACAGCAGGATAACTGCAAAACACTTCACTGATGATTTACTGCATATCAGGATAATGACAGCAGAAGAGGATTGATGTATAGATGGAAGCTTGTTTTTTATAAATAAAACAGTCATGTATCCATCTTTAAAATAATACATCTAAGTGAGAAGACGCTTCAGCAGTCAAACTGGGGAAACCTCAATCTCTGCCCAGGTCGTCCTAATGGATCGGCTAAATTTGGGCACACTGAATTTATTTCATATTTTATTTGTTTCCTTCTTCCTCCTGAATCAAACGGAATGAAGATGGCGTTAGTGAATGACTCAAAGTGATCACATTCAGTCTTTAAAAATCTACTTTGTGGAAAGATGGGTATAGAAACAAACACATATTTCAGAGGCAGGATGTTGTATCTCGGCACAATCGCGAACTCGCCTGAATTCATGTATTCAGGCCACCGGGAATGTTCCACCTGCTCGCCTCTCAGGTACTGCAGCACGTCCGACAGTCTGCAGGAGGCTGAATATTAAGAAACTGGACCTCAGTGTCAGAGCTGCTGGAAGCAAATTTATGAGGTGACAAAGAGGTGACTCAGAGAAAAATATAGTCGGCTAAATCATGCCACTGTGTTGCAATGCCAAATTATCTCACTTTGTGAAGCTTACAGAATAATATGCCTCCCATTAGAACATGCTGGAACATCCTTTTGTTAGTTGGTCGTGGGGTTTACTCAGGAGGGGAGAAAGTAAGGGAATTATTTTTGTTGCACTGAGGTAATATGAAAAATGTAACAAGTAGTTTTAATGGTTCATATTTGCTTTGTTTTGGGTGTTTTTAATACAAAAGAAATGTGAGAGGTTGTTCACGAGGGGCAACGGAGGCATGTTTGGGTTGTTTGTAGCCTATTAGTGCGCCCAGTAATCTTTCTCGACCTCTACCAACTGCCGAGCAACCAGTAAATAAAGATCAAACATGATTTATGCTTAATTTGTTGATTAAAAAAGGGGAGGGGGGCTTGGAGTTAAAAACAAAAGTATTATCATTTGCTTGGCAGAAGAGGGGAAATCGTTTGAAATTAATCAACTGATTGTTTTAGTGAATTGTTCCCAAACCCTGGTAACCTGCATTAAGGGCTCGTTTGATAGTTAATCCAGGATCAAGGCAGGGAGGGACCACAATAGGTAGCTGTCTGTGTTTGAATACACAGATCTGCCACCTGCTAACTGTAGATCAGGTTATGGTGCAGTAAAACCCGCTGCTCCTCCTCCACAGCATCCCTCGACTAATACACCCAGAGCAAGTGGAGCAAGCGAGACCAACTGGTGGCAAGACAAATGCATTTTAATAGGAGAAATAAAGACTTTAATATAAATACTAAGGTGGTAAATAAGTATTTAGCAAATTGCAGTTTAGGACTTTCATTACATCCCAACAGTGGGATAACTTGATCCAAACAGGAGAAAATTCATTGTAAATTTGTTTAACCTCCGAAGTCTTTCATGGCAGCATTTTTAATTTCTCTTTGCATTTGGGCTGATTGGGACCTGATCAATGAAAACAACCACGAAGAATCAGAGTAAATCTGTGCGTTTGATTTTTGTTTGTGAGGAAAAAGATCCACACATGAGGACATTCGCTTTAAATTTCGATAGAACAGTGGCAGCATGATGTCCTAAGTGGGTATCAGGCGTTGTAGAGCAAAATTTTGTATTTTGTTCTAGACAACCCAAAATGTGAGGTCCACATATGTGGACGCAGGTCCTTGGAGGTTAAATATAATTAGTATTACAAATACCTGAATTATGCTTTGATAAAAACTGGAATCAATCATTTTTTGTCAATTAAAGAACATATTACCAATCTGGAAAGCTAGCGGCGAGTCTGCTGACTTAACCCTTTGTGGATTAGTTGTTCAGAGACGTCCCGCCCGGTGCATTGGTCTCTAAATGTAAAATAAATAAAAAGCAAACTGTAGCCATGAGGTCTGGGATTGCAGTTCCCTCTTTTGGTCAACCAAAGTCTGCTCAGAGGAGATTAGTCAAAGAACTCTATACGTGAATACCAGAAAGTCTCCATAGTCAACAATCTTGTCCCTTACTAAAATATTTTATTTCATTTGCAGATTTGATTATCTGCCAACTGATTTGACTTTCTTACTCCATGGGGAGAAAGGGAAAAATGGTCCTACGTGATCTTGGTTCTAAAATTGATACTTGCCAGTTGTAGGTGTTAAAATAGTCTTTTGATGAAATTCATAACACACTTTGCTAAATAAAAGACAGCAAAGTACTTCTACAGCTGCTGTGTATGAATACACATTTAAACACAAACGCACATGCGTTGTCAAAAGAAATCATTCTGAGCACAAGCTGGTTTAACATTTCAGTCAGCCGACTGGTTTGTATTTTAAAAGGTTCAACAGAAATCCTCAGTAACCGTTCACTGTTTTACCACAACACTGTTCTCTCAATAATATTACCTCATTGATTCAGTTTGGTTCCTTCAGTTTTAATCTGGAAAAAATAAATCAAAGCAAGACAAACAAGTTTCAGATATTCAGTTACATTGTTCCCAATCAAGACTTTGGTAATTCTTCTTTTTGTTCACCTTGAAGTTTGGGAATATGTCCCACACGGCCCCACGTGTGATCATTCGCTGTCCAGATGCTGTAATCTCAAACCCACGGCTAAGCCTCATCGCCCACACACACAGACAACTTTTGTTTTTTTTAGGTGGAAATCCCAAACACTTTAATCTTCCCAGCAACCCTTTGGGTTGCTACGGAAACACATTTATAAAAGGCGTACTCAGTCGTGGAGGAGGAGTTAAGAAGGTACGGCTTAGGTCCAGACTAGCAGGAATGGTCGGGGTAGACTTTCACAATGTCGGCCTTAGACTGGGATTACTAAGAGCGTAGGTGACACAGGGAGGATTAGTTTAACAAAGAGGACAGACAGGTGACATGCAGGTGAACCCAACAGGCCCTCAATGCGCAACAGGAAGTGAGCATTAAGTTTAGGTGATGGGAGGAAAAATGCAGCCAAAGTTTTAAGCACCATGACTGCATCTCGCATTCTTTCACTTGCTTTTTGCCTGTCCCTCTGCCTCTCTTTTCCCCTCGCCTCATCACTCTCCCCTCCCACCCAGCCAATGCCACCATCCCCTTCACTCCATCCCTCTCTGCCTCCGCCTCTACTTTATATTAAAACAACATGATCCATGAGGCAGCGAGGGCGACTCGCAGCACCGCTAATTCTAATTAAACCAGCGTGGTAGCGTGGCCACGGCAGGGCCCAAGCACTCCCAGTCTATCAGTCTATCGGATAGAAATTCATAACTTAATTGAGGTCAGAGCCTTGAGCCAGCAGAACAAAAGTCTTCAGCCAGGACCAGCGAGATCAATAGTAATAAATATCTGACTGGGTGGCCTACAATTGGTGGCTGGAGTGCACACAAGTCGCATGCACGCAGCCTGCACGTGGGACCTGCAGATGTCTCGTGTGAGAGAAGTTTGGCCTTTGAGACGTTTTATTTTATTTACCTTTTATCTAACTTTTTTATATTCCAAGAACTGGGCAGAGCACGCCGCTCGTGTAAAACTGGAAAGGGCACACTGTGGCTTCAAGTCTGTATAGCTGATTTGTAATGACATGGTCTCTCCAAGGATGCATTGATTTGATATTGTAGTGAGTGGAGTGGGTGGACTTAAACTGAGGTGGATGTTGATTTATTTATTGAGGCCAAACGGTGAATTTGTCTCCATGGCACACCTCGACTTTGCTGAATGTCTGCGTAGATCAGCAAAGAACTGTAAATAATCTTTGAAGATTTTCCACATTAGCACTTTGTGCATTTGTTCTAATCTAAAGCTATTAGCATGTAGACATTAGCTTTTAGAATATGTTGGCTTCTCATCTTAAGCCATTTATTCAAGAGGTGCAGGCTACACTACACTGCTCATCTCCTGTCAGTTCATAAATGCCCCAACTGGAAAAACCAAATGTTTAGTTATGTCATGCATCTTTGTTAAGCCAGTGTAATCTTAACTAATCCACACACCCAGCTTTAATAAGCCTGTCTTAACATACAGGTGAAGGGCCCTGATGCAGATGATATTCGGGTTG